GCCTTTGAAGAAGCTGTTAGAAGAGTTCTAGCCTCTGAAGATAGATCGGATCACTTTATTCAAACAGATACAGTAAACCTTCATCGGAAACCGAAACCCACTTCATCTTGTTGTTGACTTACAATCATTGTGGGCCAAATTACTTTTGACTAGCTTGCTCTATAAATGGGTGGAGAAGGTGTAGTAGATGAAATAACAAATGGGTTTCACGCTAATATTAAAAATTGTAATATTCTGCTGCTTTCTTGGGGGAGCAAAAGGAAAACTTCCATTCATGAGTGTGACCCATAATTGAATTAGTGACACCTCCTGTTTGGGAAGGTGTCAAGTAAAAACATTAATATAAGAATGTAATTTGCCAACTTTACTCAAATGATAAATACTTTGAATATAATTGAAACTTGAAAGTTCTAGAAGCACTACTTTGGAGAAACTGTTCTGGAATTCAGGCACAAAGATACTTTTATATGTGTATATTTTTATGAAATCAGCATTCCATTTTTGTTTCACTAGAAGTCAGTTTCTTAACGATGCTAGATATTAAACTTCAGTCTCACTACATTCCTTTTGCTGTGAGTGGTACTTCATCTCTAATGTGTTTATTATAAGTTAATATAAACTACCTTCAGATCTTCTCTAATTGCCTAACGTTGCTATAATTTGTGTAGGTTTTTAAGTAGGAAGGAAATTTCCTACATATTTAATGTCCATTTTCCTTTCATTTACTACTCTAATGCTGTACTAATTTGTCCAGCGGTTTAATGCAAGATACTGATGATTTTTTTTAAGTTAATACATATCTTTGCCTTAAGTCCCATTCTAGCATGTTTCTGATCAATACAATAAAAATCTGAGTAACTGAAATATAACCATTTTTAGTTACGGAATAATAGCCTTTATTCAGTCAGCTTTAACAGCACTTGAAGGGATCCACATTATGACAAATTTGAAAGAGAACTTTTAGTACACAGCCTTAAAGTTCCCAACTTCTTGTTCCTGTTAACCTGAGCTATGAATGTGTTTACGAGGAATCTCTGCACTGTGAAACTAAGGATTGGCCATACCTAGAGAACTCAGGAAGCTCTTGACTTACAGTAGATTCCGACAGCTTTCAGCCCTAATACAAGGAAATGTCTACAGCTAGTGTTTGAGCTGAATTTGATCCTTATTTAATTTGCTATTTTAGGATATGGACTTATACATTTAAGACAATGTCTTTTATATTACTGTACTCGTTACACGATGATGAACAGAAGTAAATTCTGTATGTGATGGACAGTCTGTCTGCAGGGATGCAGGTGAAACCACAGAAGGTGTGTTTGAGGCTCTCCGTTGCAGTTCAGTGGTAGAATACTTGTATGAGAAGTCGTTGAATGTTGGCTCTCAGAGTACCCGCTGTCCTCGTAGTAGCAACCTTGATAGCGCACTATCGCTTCAATGTGTAATCCGACTGCTAACAGGCATGCGCGTACCCACGCTGTGGACTTCAAAAGGAAGTCTGAGGCCTGTAGGACAGGCCATGTTATTCACTAAACTACACAGACTCTGCTTTCTGTACAGCAACTCTTTTGTTCCAATAGAGAAGCCTTTCTTGAGAGTGCAGTAACAGCAGGCATTTTCTGTTCAGTCTGTACCAGGTGTAATTATTTTGAAGTAAAGCTTGCAAAACAAACACTTCTTGTCTCTCTTAATACACTTTTCTGAATGTATTGTATTCTTGCTCGAACCTGTCCAGGACAACTTGACTCCATAGGTCTGCTGTTCCTGCTTAGAAGTGACATCTTTTTTTACCTTCTGTACATTCCTAAGTCTTAATTCATTCTTACAGTCCTGCATGTACAGCAACAGAACTGTGTTTTAAGCTTCAGTCACCTAACTGCTCAGTACAGGCTGAGCTGCTACTTTTGTTGTGTTTAATTTCTAATCGATGAAGGAAAAGATCTGTGAAGAAAATCTTGGCTAAATTCCTTGTAATCTTAAGCTGAAAGAGCAAAAAGCTTCAAGAACAAAGGTTGCTTGTGTTGGGGTCTATTAAGCTAGCGACATGAAATTGTTGTAAAACTACCACCTTGCTACTTAAAGCTTCTTTTAACGTTTCTTTTAGCAGAGGTTAAAGTTGGAACAAAACAGGAGATGAAGCTACTGTGACTAGAGTACTATAGATATGATTCAAGTAAGATTGCTAAAAGGAAACAATTAAGGATGAGAACCATTGTGGTCTTTCTTGTGCCTCAGCATCCATCTGTGTTTTCCCATTTGTCCCCTTTCCGTGTAACATCATGGTTACCAAGCCTCCATCTGAGAAGTAGGTTTAATAAAGTTAAATAAAACTTAATACAATAGAAGTGTATTGCTTGTGCCCTGGGAGCTGCCGTACCACAACTGTACACTAATCACAAAAATGGCTAGTAAAGATAAAGGGGGGGCTTACATGCTCTAGTAAATAAGACAGTATACGAATTATGTTGAGGTCAGGATTTGGTCTCAGAGGGAGACTATAAGAAGCAAAAGCCCCATGACAAGCAGGTGATAGGTACAAAAAAAAAAAAATGATAATGTTTAATAACAAACAGGCATTTCTGTACTTCGTGAAAGCTTAGTATCCGTCATTCCCTGTGGAGGTAAGGCAGGCACTTGCGGCTTATGTTTCAGTTCACTGGTTCATTTCAAGTAGTAGCGTATCTCAAGTATTAGGGGGTCCTGGTAGCAATATTTAGAGTTCTGTAGAGTGACAGAGCATACTATGTGATAGGTACGCAAAGTTCCAGATGTCCTTTAAAACGAGGAGCAAAAAATACTCTCATGGCAAATTGGTGGGATTGATGAAAGCTATGTGTATTAGAACAGACAGCAAAATGGGAAGGAGCAGAAGAAACAAGCTAGGACAGCTGCCAGCTCCCCTTACAGGAAAGCATATAGATGTTTAGCATAAGGCTGCTGCCAGAGCCAGGCTGCTTGCTTTAACAGTTGCTCGGTACCCCAAACAGGTCTTGCTTCAAGTCATGTGACAGGTTACCTAAACGGTAACAGAACTTTGCAAAAAGTTGAGTCTAAGTTGTGTTGCCAGCCTGGATTTATTAAGGCTGGTTCATGTTCTTAGCTTGTGCTGGATTTTTGTACCATTGAGGGTCATTCCAGTCCCTTTAACTCATAAACTTTTTTGTTGTCTTTATTGCATAATACAGGTTATCTGCTGCTTTCTCATACTGCAACAGATTTCATTTGAGTTCTTATTCCTAAGCTTCCGAGATGGGGCAGGAACACACCACTAGCAAAAGGGGCCTCTCTCCTGCCTTGTCTGTTGAGGAACTGTTCGTTGTCCGATGCATGTGAGGACGGCATCTTGTGGACCTACAGCCCATTTGTGGCTATAGATGATGGCAAGGTAACTTTCACCCGGCACTCCCAGATAGCAGTCTTACAGCTTACTGTAAAAAGTCACAAAGCAAAGCATAAACAAGTGTTCCTCCATACACAGGGAAGTCATCGCTACCTAGCCCAGGTCCTTCAGAAGTCTGTCACGAGACAACGTTCCTCACCGCAAATGCTGTAATGAGTTAGGACGTAACTCTCCCTTTCCTGTAGCCAGTAAGAGTCTTTTTCATAAAGCCCAGATGGACTTGTGAGAGTGCATTTCCCATGTACAATTCCTATAGTCAGAAAAAAAGGGGAAAGATACATGGGGGGTGCACGAACAGGCACCATTTGGCTGCCTGCCTTCAGAGCTCAGGCAAGAGAGAGAATGCTTTCATTTTACGTAACTTCCTACTGTGTGCTGGCAGAAAAGAGTACAATTATCAAAACCCCCAGTTTCTAAAAGTGGTGGAAACTCTTAGCACACATCCTTGCCAAAACTTTTCTTACTGCTGCATATAGGATTATTTAACATAAGCATTTCCGCAGTGAATCTTAACTGTTAGTATTTTTCCAACCATGGTGCTACTGGGGAGGAGGCAGAAAACACCGTAACAGCTCCAACTTAATGGCTCCTTATCATATGAATGAGAACGCTTCACCTCAAGTGTGTCGCTGTTGCTTTCATGTACATAGCAAAAAAAAAAAACAACGGTTGATTTATATAAGATTACATGACATTATCAAAATGCTGTACAATACAGTTTTTATGAAATCACACTGCAAAGACAAGTGTTCCCATCTTCACTTACCACGCCACCAATAAAGGCAGCCTTACTGTGATCATCAGTTTTTCTTCTAAATCATTTCAAGTATACTCAGCAGGCATCCATACTGCATCGTTCCACATTTTATTTAAAGTAAATATTGCAATCTTTATATCATGTTCTTTTTCTCATGGAGTATTTTACAGTGACAGTTTAATAAAAGTGTAAATTACAAAGAAATAATGATTGACTATACATTTAAAGCACATATACACATGGTCTGTTTAATTATATAGACTATGCAAAATGTACTTCCTAGAACAGCATGCCACTTCCTTTGGAAATTATTTTTCAGACATTTTAAAAAAATGTCCAAGAAGATAACTTATACCAATTTGCTGCAAAGGGAAACACGCTACTTACAAGATTGTGAAACCAACCAAACTATTAAGTACATACGTGCCAAATGACCCATTTAAAAATTACTGTTTTGGAATGATGGCAAGTTTTGCAAAAGGGTCCCTAACCCCATTTTACAATGAAATAGTAGCCGGACAGGCCAAATAATGCCTTTCTGAAACCTCAGCAAATAGAGTTTCATGGTTGAAAGATCATACTCTAAATATATTTTCAAAAAGAAAGTATCAGCACTTGCAGAGAGAATGGAAAGAAGTGGGTTTAGACATGTAAATTTAGTTTGGTTTTTTTCCTTGTGTGAATTAGAAGTCAGGGCAGACATAGCTATTCTGGTCTACTTCGTTCATTACACTGATGCAACACTGCAGCTACACATGAATTTTAAGCTTTAAAACTTTAAGGTTTTTGTCAAAACTTCTTGAAATACTGAAGACAGAGCTTTGCTGATACATCCTCTTTTCTTTTTATTGAGCACTTTAGAATACACACATTACACATTACAATATAAATATAGAACCTGATTTAATACCAGAGTTAAGGTTAGTCTGGTTAGTCTGCAGAGTAAGTTCTCTAGTGAAGGACTGTAAGTAGAAAAGTTTATAACAAAATTAACCACTTAGGGCAAACAGTCAAGAATTCCCATTTGCTCATATTAAATCACATGACTGGAGATGTCTTGCATTTAGATCTGATTTCCTCCCACCCTGTATAAGAGGCTTCCATTTTGCATATGCATTGACACCTACACGTCTCTGTACCGATTCAGCCCCTGACATTTTTAAACTTAGTTTTCATAGCACAGAAAAGGAAACTTCTTAACATACACATGTTTTAACCACAGAAGCTTGGTTGTTCTTATCTGTATCGGCAAAAAAAATAAAGAAGCTTCTTCAGCATCCAATTCATCAGTCTTCAGAAGATGAGCATCAAACATGCTGAGAACTAATAAGAAGAACTACAGTTCAAAGAATCGGGAAAGTATGGAAAAAGCACTCACTCGGCAAATTTATTTCTTCAGCTTAAAAGGTGTTTTTTCCCAAGGAACTGTACCTTCCTTTCAAAGGCACTGGAGCGAATAGGAGAATTGAGTTCATAAAATGGATTCATCGCAAACTGAGGAAAGAAGAAAAACTCATCAATAAGCACAACGTCCAGCACTGGAAAATGTAACTTCAGATGACAACTACTATTAGCTTTCAGCCTATTTGGTGCCGCTTAAGAGCTCAGAGCTCCTAAACAGTCACTGGCTTTCCAGGCCTTCGCATTCTCCCCATATACGTGCACAGCCATCCCTTAGATGGCTCCTCAGAACAAATCCACCCTGACACTGGTGGAAATGTCTGGTTTGGAAATTAGCATCATTTCAGTCCCCGTAGGAGGTCGAGATGGCGATTCTTCCCACCAGTGCTTGCAGTTGCCCCACTAGTGGAAGTACCACCAGGCTGTGAGAACACAGGTGACTTGTTCTACCAGCAATGCACTTCCACCAGGCTCCTGCAGAACAGTCCTCTGCTTTCACTGTTGTCAGCAATGACACAATACTGCCCCAAAATCACTGGACTAAAATGAAGAATAAATTCTGAAAGAGCAGAGTTTATAACAATTTAGAAAAATCTACGCTGTTTAATGGAAAATACAGCCTTTATGTCACACGTTATCAACTCTGGCGCAGGTGCTTCCTCACTTACACAGGCCCCCACGAGAAAACACGTTAATACAGGCACGCCTAAGCATGTACAGCAGAACACACTTAAAAGTACTGCAGTGAGACCATAAGAAGTGGGTTCTTACCTTTATATACAAGTCGTATACATCATTAAAGAAGTTCTTAATTCCGTCTTCTTGCCTTACATCATGAAGCATTATAAATCTCATATGTAAAGCAATTAAGGAAAATTTAACTTTTACAAAGAAGAGGGACATTTGAGATATCCTGAGATAAGCATTTACACTCAATTCTGCATATACTTCAAATGTTTAGCTGTACACGAAATAGCAGTGACTCCATAGGAGGAAGCATTCAAAGAACTGAAGCAGCGAAATTATAGAAAGCACTACCTTTATATTTAAAAATTTCCTTATTTGAAAATAGTACCTCTCTATTCAAGGTTATTCTTTTTAAAGCTATACAGTTCTGAACGTGGCTGATGCTCTCAGCACCTTTGCCACATACCCCTGAAGTTAAATGACATTCGATGTTACTCGCTATGTATAACAAACGTTTCACAACACACATCTCTAGGACTACCTGTACAGAAGATCAAGCCTTGACACTGCATTTTTGACTGACACCAAGCATGTTGATCCCTGCTTCTCCTCTCTAGCACTATCAAGGGGACAGGAACAGAGAATCATACAGGCTTGCTCTGAGCCTCTCATACCTCTTCCCTCTACTCCATGTGAGCTCCACATTTCATTAGGCTATTTATTTTAGCTCCTCCAAAAGGAAAAATCTACCTTTCCAACTGGTCCCAGTTTTAAACAACTGCTGTGCCTCCCAACATACTTCATCCCGAGGCTGGTGACTTTTTCTAACAAGAATAGTGGTGAATAGCCAGAGAAATCCGTTCCAAACTCATTTTATTTAACTTGTCCCTTTCTGGCAAAAGGCTTTTCCTATATAAATATAAGAAGAGGGAAGGATATGTCCAGCTGTGACAAAAGCAGAAACAAACCATTCATTAAACTTGTCCACAGTCTTCAGATACATGTTGTTAGAAAGCCACATGTTCTCATCTACTAGGTCAAGAGCAGCATGGGCAATGAACTGGTTGAGATGGCGATGATCATCCTAATGTATTACCAGAAGACAGAGGATTAGTAATTCAGTGAAAGGAGTGAAATATAAACAATAATTTGCTCAAGTTGCTAAACAACTAGTGCTCAAGTTACGTAAAGTTACATATACCCTTCTTTTCTGCCACATATGTGTCATCCTGTAATTAAATGAAACTAGTATGTGTTGTCACGATACTTGGTTTCAAGGGAGAAAAAAGGTCATAATAAAAAGGTCATCACAAAAACAGTCTTGAGTGCAGCAAACCCAATAAAGCCTATATTTATAGCTCAGGAACGAAGTCAAGCATGATTTCATTTGTTTACCAATGGGTAATCTCCCACTGCAAACTTATTCCACAAGAGGCCCTGTTAAGTTTTTTTCTCTGCTTTCCAGTCACCTGTTTTTGTGAAATTCACAGCAATTTAGCATTTTTTAGACCATAACATCTCTGTCAAATGTGGCAGAAATTGAGCAATAGGTTACAATGTATAAAAGTTGGGGGACAGATGGGGAAAGAAGAGAGATACAGAGGACAGATATACTGATAACATCACCTAAAGAGGCTGTTTTTTCAGGGTATTTGCCTAGAGACATAGGATTGTTTTATTGTTTTGGAGCTTTTCTTTTTCCTAAGAGCCTAGTGCAGAAAAACATCCTGCAACTAGTATTAAACATACGCTTGCAGGTGTAAAATGCACCTCTTCCTGTAATAAGCATGAATGGCCTTCATAAAAGCGATCGCAGCGTCTGGCCCTAACCCTGCAAGAGTTGTGTAGGCAAAGAGCCGTTTACTTTGCATATGAACTAGAACGCCGGAGGACATGGGCCAAGAAGAAACATGGGACTAAACCATACTGTAAGCTTCTGTTAGACTGGAAACATAAGCCGTCTTGCACTGTTTCTTGTAATACAGGGATGCTACTAATCCCACTCTCACACCTCCCAGTGGCCTATGTTTTTCCCCCAAATTAAGTTTGGCTCAGGGCATTAACAGCTTTGCAAGTTCCATTAAACTATACTGAGGAAGAGATTGAGTAGTGAAGTTTAAGGGGCAAAAGCTCATGCTGATTTACCACGTACATTATGCAAACCACTTACTTCAGGCCGTTGTGCATCTGCACTGAACTCACTCTTAAATGGAATGTCTCAGAAAGTGAAGCGATAGTTGCCAAAACATATCACGGTCTACTAATTCTCCTTCAGTGCATACCAAGTTTAGATTCTCTCTTAGGAGAAAATTTAGGACTTCAACCTCAATCAGACAAGCAGCTTACCTAAGCCAAGTTATTTCCATTAGCAGAATGCAGAAAATTAATTTTTTCACTATCTGACACATCCTCACACTCACTCCGTCTAGCCCAACTAGCCTTCTTTACAACCTTTTATGGGACATCAGTTCAAAATACAGATGATGCTATGCTGTTCAAATCAACATATACTTCCATTTTTGGACACAGCCACAGATCCACACACTTCTATTGTGAAGTCTATTTTTTTTTGGATGTAATACCACAATGGATAGATTTGTTCTTTTCCCACTGGAAACACTACTTGCTGAGTAGTCGTACATTTATCACAGTTTCAAACTTGTATTTATCAACACAAATTTCAACCTTTTCTTACTTAAAAGCAAGTATGACTATTGAAGATGATTAAAACATAAGATTTTTTATAGCATAAAAAATAAAGGACTGAATAGAGCTTTCAAGTTTAGGTCCCTTACTTTACCTTATTACTGTACACAGATGCCTTAAAATAGAGAATGACAGTAAGTTGCATTAAATAATGAACAGCTCTTATAAAAGCTCTACATGCAAAGAGCAATGACCAAAGCATGACTAGCATAGATATTCTTCACCATACAGCATCAAATATTTAAGGAAACCATGTTTTGTAAAGAACTAGTATGATCTGGCAAAGCATTTTTAAGAGACTGGAGAACTCCAGAGTTCTACTCGCTATGACAATGTTTCTGTAAAAAAAAAAAAAAAACAAAAACAGAAACAGTAGATACTAGTAACACTTCTAACAGCATGCTTCTAATAGACTGTAAAATTATAAAAGAGAATGCACCATAATTACAACATAGGAGTATCACAAAGGAAAAAACACACCTTGGATTCTACTTTTCCAGGAGGCAGAAATTCCATTTCAAATATGGGATTATCATGATGACCAACTATCACAAAGTAGAAACTTCCAGACATCGTTCAAAACAGTGCTCCTTGGAAGAAAAGACAGACATGCTGATGAGTCTATATGCAAACTCTTAACGCGTGTGAAAGCCCCCCTAAAAACCAGCCAACATGCTTCCTGTTCGAAATTACCACAGGCTAAAGAGAGATAAACAGGGGGGAAACATCCTTAGAGAGCGGCGCATCTCCTGGAAGTGAAGCTAGTTCCTACTACCCAAAGCGCCTACGGTACAGCTGGCTGACGGTTTGTCCCCCGGGAGCCCTCCCAGCGACCCGCACCCCGTGAAGTAACGCCGCCCACCCGCCTT